TTTCTGTGTTGTTTACTAGGATTTCTCTGGCGATGGTTTGGTTGTGGGAAGAGATTATATGTTCCTTAATGGAGCCCTGTTGCTTATGCATCGTTAAACGCCTAGAAAGAGATTTTGTTGTCTTGCCTATATACTGGGTTTTTTGGAGCTTACAGTCCCCAAGAGGGCATTTGAAGGCATAGACGACGTTAGTGTCTTTTAAAGCGTTCTGTTTTGTGTCTGGAGAGTTTCTCATGAGTAGGCTGGCCGTTTTTCTGGTTTTATAGTAAATCGTCAGTTGTATCCTCTGATTTTTGTCTGTAGGGATAACGTTTCTATTAACAAAATCTTTCAGGACCCTTTCCTCCGTTTTATGAGCTGTGGAAAAGAAGTTCCTGTAAAATAGTCTAATAGGGGGTATAGGTGTTGTGTTAGTTGTCTCTTCAGAGGCCTTCTATATATATATATATATATATATATATATATATATATATATATATATATATATATATATATATACATATATATATATATATATATATATATATATATATATATATATATATATATATATATATATATATATATATATATATATATATATATATATATATATATATATATATATATATATATATATATATATATATATATATATACACACACATATATGTGTGTGTGTATATATATATATATATATATATATATATATATATATATATATATATATATATATATATATATATATATATATATGACAATGTCAGACCACGGAGGAAAAAATTAAACAGGAAATTTCCTTAAGTACTTTCGTATATTAAATACATCTTCATCTTAATACATCTTCATACATCTTCATATTAAATACAACCTTCTGAGGATGTATTTAATATACGAAAGTACTTAAGGAAATTTCCTGTTTAATTTTTCCTCCGTGGTCTGACATTGTCACATTCTTAATCACGTGTTTATTTTCGTGATATACACACACATATATATATATATATATATATATATATATATATATATATATATATATATATATATATATATATATATATATATATATATATATATATACCCAAGTCCTATTAAGAAAGTTTTTGGTTGATGCTGCCAGAGGGGGCTAGTGTATTGTGCACCCCATACTAATTCTGTGAGCGGAAGCATAAAAGAATACAGAGCACAAAAGATGTTAATCGGACCTCACTGCAGTTTTACATTAACAATTTCATCTAACATACACATTAAATAATTATAATGACTAGTTACAAACTTTAGATATGCAACATATATGTTTTTACAATAAATTATTATGCATCGAAGGTAGGACATTTGTTCTTTAAATAATTTATATATGGGAAATTATCGGATCACAGAAGAGTTGCCGTTTATTATTATTAGTTTCACGCTATTCAGCTTATACATTAGGCTCATATGTTATTTACCTAATAGAAGCAAAATATGGATATAGTGCAAGGATTTCAGATATTTTAACATGTAATAATATGCCATTACATGCAGCTCGAGTGCAGATCCAGCTCTATATTGTTCAATCCTTAAACAGTCTACGATGTAATGCCGTAGCAGTCAAGCGTACCCATGTCTCCTGTCATACACTTTATTCTTCACTTCATCTAGATCCCTATGCAAGCCAAACTGATACTTGTAGCCAAGTCGTATTCGAGCTGCGACAATGTCTATCAGTCTATTAACTTTATTGCTTGCCCCAGATCAGACGCCACACCAGACCAATGAGATAACCTACTTCTTTGAGTAGTCAAATTTTCATGAAACTCCTCCGACTGAGTACTGCAATCCATCTCCCTGAGAGAAACCGGATCATCACGCCCTTCACGTGAAAGATTAGGGGTTATAAGTTTTTGCTCAGCACCTCAGCGATTACCAATTGTTCTATGACGAAAAAGTTGAAAATCAGCTGATCTTCCCCGCTCAAACAAGTTGATTAAGAAAGTTGATACTCGGAGAAACAGCCGAGACTTGGGGTGGTGGAGGGAGGGAAGGTGTGAGGGTAGGAAAGGAGGAATTTTGAGGGAGTGGTTAGGGTAAGAAGTCTGAGCCTGGTTTTGATGGAGTTCAAGGAATTGGATCCGGCAAGGAGTTTGAGTGAATGGTTAAGGTGAAAGAGCATTGTGTTGTTTGAAGGAGTTTTGAGAACGTGATTTGCATAAGGTAAGGCAATTATACGGAGTTTGGATATGAAGGAAGGGTTTGAGAAAACTGAGAATAACTATTAAAAGACTGGAATATGAGAGCAAAAAAAAAGAAATATCGTCAGAAAAATGTGAAGAAGACATGAAAGACTAGGAAGCAAGAGAGCTGAGCGAGAGAAGGCGAGAATGTAAAGGTATAGAAAGAAGATTCGATGACAGTAAAGATGAGAGTAACACCTCCCAAGGAATATGACAGGGAAATATGGAAAACGAATTTCTTTGAATTCAGAAACGTCAGAGTCTCCGACAACTTTACATGGATGGATTTTTGAAGATTTTATGATTTACGACGGATTGGGAAAACTTTAGAACTTGTGCAGCTCCTAAATTGGTGAAGAGCAAAGTTCAAACCTCTTTCCTTCCCGCCTCCCAATTGCCTGATAGCTCCTCCCAAGTGTGTCAGAAGCGTTCGCGACAATCTCAGCATCAGCTTCTGTGACCATTTCGGTAGCTTCTAAGATCTCAATAAGATTTTCAATACCCTCTACTACTCTTAGTAGCGTGTTTGACTCCTTTCAGTAGCATCATGACCCTTTTCAGAAGCTCAGTAGCTTCTGCGACCTTTTCATTAGCCTCTCAGACCTTAATAAGACTCTTAATAGCCTCTACGACCCTCTTAGTAGCGTGTTTGATCCATTCAGTAACATCAATAAGACTCGCTCAGTATCTTAGGACGAACTAGTAAAGGGTTATTAGCCTGATGGTAATATTGATAAAATACTAGTTGTAAATGGTGCTAAGATTGCTATTAGAGGGCTCAAGAATTACTAAGACGGGCTCAAATGTTACTGAGAGGATCTTACACAATATCTGGGGGAGGATGGGGATGGGAATACCATATATTCTCCACGATAACTCTTCATACGCCACCAGTCTCCTCTCACATTCCACTATAACTCTTCATCTTCCAAAAGTATCCGGTTATCCTCATCCATTTCTCCTCATCCTCAACTAATACTCTCTCTCACAGTCCCTCATATCACATCATCCGTCACTATAACTCTTCATCTCCTTCTTGGAGATTTTAGTCTCCCTCTCTGAAGTCTTCGTGTAGGTCTAATTAACATTCTCGCAGTTGACTTATGTGAGTAAACTATTACTGTGCATGTCTGTATACCACACACCAGCCACACGATTTTGTGTCGTAAATATTTTTATTGACGAATGAAATTTATTACATTAAAACAATGGAGATATATATGTCAGCAGAGGAAGAAGAGGACGATGCATACAAAATATATATTTATTATTATCATGTATGTATATCAAGCAATCTACAACATATCCTCATACCTATCTTATCACAATGAAAATCACAACAGGTACGACAGATTATCTGGGAAATGTAATTCTTCAATACATTTTAAGTGTGTATTGAAGAGGAATCTTAAATTATTTTCTCAAAATTCTTAAAATAAGTCTTAAGACACCTAAGCCTCTCCGATAACAAAAATTAGGGGATAAAAACCTCATAAAAATTACATCGGCAGAAGGTCTATTGGCCCATACGAGGCAGCTCCAATTTATACCTACCCAAACTCAGTCATATATATGTTTAACCTACGGCTGACGCAATCCAGCGATCCCACTTTTATTACATTACCAAGCAAATTGTCCATAAATCTACACCCCTATTTTCAAACCAATTTATATATCCAGTTTATTCCCAGAACTTTATTAAATCTAAACTTATCCAATTTCTTACCATTGTTTCGTGTTCTATTTTGTGTTTATTTATATAAAACCTCAGTAATGTCTTGTTTGTTATAGGAGACCTTACATTGTTCTGAGGGAAGGGAACTATGAGGGGAAAGCATTAAGCCACTACGACTATATAGCACTTGGAAGGGGTCAGGATAAGGATTTGGAAAGAGACGGAGGGAAGAAATGGTCCCTAACCACTTGGATGGTCGGGAATTGAACGCCGACCTGCATAAACCGAGACCGTCGCTCTACCGTCCAGCCCAAGTGGTTGGGCAAATAGCAGCTGCGTCCACTCCTGGTGAATAACGGTAGCCTCAATACATGGTGAATAACAACTATTCTGAGGGAACAAAAGCACTTACGGATGAGAGCTGCAGCGCAGACTTACGCTGAGTGTCATACATCTTGGGCTTTTATGCAGAATTTGCCAACTACTCTAAGTTGTGGGGGATTCTTTCTTAAATAAGGCGACACTTAAATTAGATTGTTCTATAATGTTATCTAAACTAATCTCCTCAAAATCAAATTATATTGTGTAATTGATGATAAATTACACAAAGTAAATTAAGCAAACCTAACCTGATTTGGGTTTAAGAAGATACGTAAATAAGGTCTAACAAAATTCGTAAATGCCTGAGTGAAAGGTATCTGGAATAGGTGAATGTATTTTTGGCTAACATTTATGATATGACGAGGAGTAATGCACATCTGGTCATCCACACCTGCAGGTGTGGATGACTGCTGGAGTGTAGTAGTGCATGTTCATCCTTCATACTAATTATTGTGAAAGATAAAATAAATAGAGGTGATAGTTAAATTACTTTAATAAATAATGTCGTTAACGTTGTTTGATAATATTTACTACATATTTTCTCAGAACTGATTCCTCCCCGGCGTTTAAAAGTGGAAAACGGCGTAGTAATGATAATGTGTGATTTTAGGCAGATATAAATTATGAAATATAAAAACTTGCACTTACTGATAGTTACAATTTGAATTCTTGTAAGTGAAATGTTATCTTCAATATATGTGTGTGAAATTGTTTTATGAAAACAGGAATTAACCCCTTCCCATCTTCCTCAGGTTATGGTGTAGCCGTGACACTCCAGGAGACGACTAGGGCGCCTGCAGCCTCCCCAGCTGGAGAGCATCAATACTGGCACAAGCACCCGCAGGAGTCTGCCTGCAAGACAGTTTTAGCCATGTCTCTCAATACTAGCGACTCTCGAATCACATGGCCAACGGCCTTAGTGCCCACCGCCGGTGACGCAATGATGGACGCTCCTCTGGGCATGTTTACAAGTCACAGAAGGGTGCGAGGGTGAGAACGAGGTTTATGAGCGGTGTAAAAAGTGTAGGAGCCCTCAGAGGTTTACGAGCGGTCCGAGAGTGAGGATGAGAGCATAAGACCCAGGGGGGAGAGGTGCCCGATCAGGCATGATCTACAAAATTGGAACGATGGACCCGAGACTGAGTGTCTGTCCGTCCATCCAGTCCCCCTTTCACGCCTTGGACGTCGTGTGGGCGTGACTAGGGCGTGGGCTACAACAAGAATGAGCCTGGCTTGGGTGGTTTGGGCGGTGGTGGTTAGCGCAGTGGTGAGTGGTGGACAACCTGACCAGGTTCTGAGTCGCCTGGTATCAACCAAATATGGCAAGATACAGGGTTTCATCCGTCACCACGCGAGACACCAACTCCAACCCGTCGAGGTCTTCCTCGGAGTACCTTACGCTTCTCCGCCCATGGGAGATGGTCGCTTCACGCCCACCAGCAGCCCACTGCCCTGGGACGGGGTGAAGCGATGTACCGAGCTCCCGCCCGTCTGCCCGCAATCGTTGGTGAACACAGAAGACGGAGAGCTGCCTCCCGGCCGCGCCTCTCAGCTGGCCTCCTTCAGACTCCTGCTGCAGCATCAGAGCGAGGATTGTCTCTACCTCAACATCTACAGCCCGCATGACGGTAGGCAACCATCATCATTCTAGCCAGGGTTAGATTAATACAGAAGACAAACTGCTCACGTAACTGGGGTTTAGAGACAAGAGTGTAGACCATTTCGGAATATTTTTCACTTCATTTTTTAAATAAGGAGACTAGAGGAAGTGTTTGCCTAGACCCTACTACAATGTTAATTTGGCCCTGAAGTTATCTCTTTTTCTTGCTGTCAACATATCTAATATAAAACTCTATCCATTTGTCTGTTTTTCATTCTGGAACTACATAAAAAATCACAAAGCAGGCACCCTGATCGTATAACATTGTAGTAAACAAAGTTTTAACCCGTCCTTCTAAGGTAAGAACATTAATGTAGTTAGATCACCAGTCAGACTTGGAGTAATAGGCATACGCAAACCAAGAGCGTTAGCACCACCACCATTTTTATCGTCGTCCATTGTTTCCAGCGAATTAGTAGAAAAGAATCTACTAGCGCAGCTGAGAGATTCGGCTGTGGCTCTCGATCCGAATTTCGTCGAAGGAGCCAGCCAGTGTGATACTCTTGCAAGGCTTTTACCCCGACCATCAGCCCCAGATCACAGGCGGGCTCATTAGGATAGTCCCATAATTGATATTATTATCTCAGTGATGCTATCTGAGGAGTTCATACCCTGTCTCCTAAAGGTAAAGTACCTCATGCTGGATATTTTTTATTTGCCATACCCGAATCCGTCCTGGAAACTCTCCTTAATCATGATGCTCAGGCGCATCCGCCAAAGGCACTGGCAGAACAATAAGCCATCACGGTTTGATAAGTCGTGTGTAATAGCAAAAGATTACAAGATTGGAAGAGGTTAATGATTTCATCAAAAGAGATTTTGCCACAGACCTTATGAGCACCACGTCTCTACAGACCCAACGACACTTAGAAAGTTAAAGAGACTTAAAAGGAAACTGATTCTTGCGAAATATAGACGAAGAGGAATTTTTTTAATCCATAATAAATTTAGATTTTTATTTCATTATTACTTTAACCTGTTTCGCTTATTGTTTTGGTATGAAAGTAGAGACATAAGTTTTGTCTGAAACTTGTGCAATTCACCAAGGTGATTTTTTTTTTTAACAGAGTTTAATCTATGTATTATTATTGAACAATCAAGAATTACCAATATCACCAGCTTAAGTCATCCTCTTCTGGGTGGCGTCCTTTCTTCTCTATGGCTTGATAGTCACTGAACCACCTCCACATTGGGTATATTGGTAATAATAATGACACAGTTAACAGTCGTGTTTGGGTTTGCATTTTGTTTCTGCAGAAATCCATTAAACAATATAATTATTTAATAAAACTATATGCACTACCCGATGCCATAATAGTTACTTGGCTGTTTGCACCTTATTATCACTGAATCTTGCATAACCTCATGGTAATGTGACTTTGAGAAGGTATACAAAGTTAAACATATGTAGCGGTTAAAATAGGGTGAAAACAGTTTGATAAAATAAGAATTAAAAAATTATTGGGAGTATATGTGTGGTCGAGAAGTAAAACATTAATTGTAGAAAAAAGTTAAATGAGAAGAATATTATTTACTGTGTCGTGGATAACCATCTGTACACAAAGATAGGCAATTCCTCCAAGAAAACAAAACAAATGAATCAGCTAGAGACATTTGAGCTGCATTATATTCTATACAATATCCAGTCCGACTTTATCCGCCGGGCCTTCTGTGAAACCAATTCCAGCATCAAAGCAGCATTATCCATCAACTTTAAACGGTTGCCACATACTGTGGTCTGTTTAAGCTCCGTTGGCTGTCGGATCAATACCAAATGAGACTGGTTGTACTATTCAGCTAAAGAATATGACATGCATGTCACCAAATGTCGTGTCTCCAATCGAGCAGGCATGAAACCTGATTGAGAGAGCAACTAAGATGTCAGGATTTTATATGGAGAAAATAAAACTCTTATTAAGGGGCAGAACATGAAGACAGAGTGAAGAAACTGCAGCAAACGACTGGGTTTGTCGGGAAACGCCGGCCGACCCAACGAGAGCGAGGCCGTTGTTGCACCAACCAATTTATGTCCCTGTCTCTTGTTATCATCTTAGAGATTTGCTTCAGGTACTTGGTCTTAGCATCCGAGTAAAGACGGTGAAAGCCATTGTGTCAAGCACAGCAACAAGCTATGAGATTCTGAAAAATAGAGGCGGATTGTAGGAGGCCAAACACACAGGCAATAACTTGAAATTCAACAAAGAGGTCGTCTTCCGGAGAGCTCCGTATTCACGCTCCCTCGGAAAGGAGCTGAGAAAATACAAAGATCAAACTATTTCCAACATCTCCCGAAGTTGGTGCTCTGAGAAACGCATACTGAAAATACTTTACAAACTCACTTTACTGGACATTTGTTTTATAATCACCAAGTGCATAAATATATCCATGAAGTGTTCATTCGGTCAGATAATTTTTTTTTCCAATAATATGATATGTATTGAGTAATAGCTGAAAATAACCAACTTATATAATGAGAATATCTAGGAAAATTGTATGAATTTTGTTTACAGTATTTCACATATTTCACATAGATTATTTAATATATATTTCATATAAATTTATTCACATATTTCACATAGATTAGTTTATGTAAATTTGTTCATTATTCCGGTCCTGATTATTTTTGTTAATTTGATAACAAAAAATCCCACATTATTAACTACCGAATACATACTTTTTACCACGGTTGTCTTATGCACAAGAATCGGAGTCATATTTTTTCCTACATAGCAAAATGCAATAATATAACGAATATTATTTTTAAAGTTATTGACCAATATATATATATCTGGCTTCCCATATGAATAACATCCATGAAAGTTTTATAAACAGAGAATTGCACGCTGCAATCATCAATGACTGACTGTGGCAGTCATTGATTGTCGCGGCAGTAACTTTAATGTTATATCAGTAGTGGCTCACTGGTCTTATAGTGTTAATCTGGCATCATATTAAGAGTTTTCAGCCGTACTTTTAATTAAGGCCAGAAGCAAAACCTATCAGTGTGTCACTGTCCCAAAAAAAATCGAGGTTTTCCTTTTTTTTGTAAAGTCGCGTAGATGCCTCCAAACTCACTCATCCCAGAGCCAGGATGAGTATTTTGTTTCACTATCATTAACGAGTGTTACCATTATAATTATTTATATAAATATCTATATCATTATAATTATTATTTTAATTTTAATCGCAGAGAATAACTTACAATAACGTTTCTAAAAATATATAACCAGTGCACTTGGTTATACTTGGTTGTAACACAAAATTATACTATATGTTTCGGAGGAGTATATCGTACACGCTATCGCAGATATGACTACGGAGGAATATATATACCTTAAATCTTACAAAAATCTTATTACTCATGACAAATTTATTTGGATGATACCTTTGTTCAGTGTTGTTTCCACTGACAAAACTGAGTTCGGTTATACTGAAGGGTGTTTTGAGCGATATCAAGATATACTACAACTACACGGAGTGTGAACAATTTAGATATACAAAAGTCTACACTATTAATATACTACAAAATAACTACTTTAAAAAGATTTACGCAATTCAATAATTCATTAGCACTCAAAGGTACAGGAATTCAATGCTTTCAGAATCTGGTATTCAGGGCTATTACAAGAGGGAAGGAAGGTGAGGACGTGTCATTAAAATTCCATTATGCAAACGAAATTGAAAAAACAAATTCTGCGTCTGTTATTGTTTCCGTTCGTGAGGAGAAAGGCGATATTGTAATTGTTTATTCTACGAGGTTTGGTGAATTTAGCAGCCTGTGTACAATTTGCCTGTTTAGCCTATACCAAAGTTACGTTCGTGTTTTCTCTCTCCTTTGCTGTGTCCCTCCTTCTATCCCCAACCTTCCATACTCTCATATCATATCTGTGAGGATTCGTGCATCGTTTTATCCTGTTATTTATCCCCTGGATGCATCACACACTCCTCACGCAGCTTCCACAATATGCGACATATCTCTCCAAACTTTTGCGAATATTACCGCTATTTCCCGCCTTCTGTCACCAGGCTACAGGAAATAAATTCAAGGCCATACGATCTAAAACAAATGAAAAAGAAAGAAGAGAATTTTTGATGGCGGAAACTATTGTTTTACTTTCACTCTGAAGGATTGCCAGAGTTGTTTATTTGTCTATTTTTTGTATTTCCTTTGTTCGCTGGAAATAAGATCAGGCCGTTGATAACTCGATAACATTGTTAAAACGAAACAGAAAACGAAGTGTGTGTTTTATGAAGCACTGTCAGGATTTTTTTTACTAGGTGGGATACAAGATACAGGGTTACAAGGATGTGTGTATTTAATATTTATGCCTGCAGGATTGAGGTGTTAGCTCTTGGACCCCGCCTTTCCTCGCCTTTCTAAAGAAAGGACTCCCGACATATTTTCTTCCATCATATCTACAGCATATATTTCCCTCTAACAAACATACCTAGGCCCATAACAGATGTCTAACTCTCATGTGCTAGGTGAAGGGATGCATCAGGTGAAAGAAACTGAACCCGAGCTCTTAGGACTACGACCCCGCGGACGCTGTCCACTCGGCCGTCAGGTTCGTGTGTGTGTACTCGCCTATTTGTGCTTGCAGGATCAAGCATTGACTCTTGGATCCCGCCTTTCTAACTATCGGTTGTTTACAGCAATGACTCCTGTCCCATTTCTCTATCATATCTAGTATTAAACTTATGAATAGAGTTTGCTTCCACAACCTGCTCCTTAAGTGCATTCCATTTTCCACTACTCTCACGGTAGTGTGTGTGTGTGTGTGTGTGTGTGTGTGTGTGTGTGTGTGTGTGTGTGTGTGTGTGTTTGTTATTGACTATGACCGGAAGGGCAGATCAGTGATTCCAGCATTGCAACTTTTTACATTTCATATGTTCTTCAACTAGGAGGTGAAAACCAACAACAAATTTACACAACCAACTGTTTTTAATATTATTGTGCCAATGTTT